TTAACATGGCAGTTCCATGTCTGGGAATGTGCCCTATGGAATTCACACATGTGGCACACGTGTGCACGAGATGTTGACTGCAGCATGTTTGTGATGGTGAAAAAATTGGAAACCTACTTGTGGACCAGCCTAGAAGGGGACATAGACATCGTGGTAATTCACTCAAGAGAAAACTCTATCATAGTTAAAAATGATTAAACACAACCCGACATGTATCAACATGGGTACATTTTGAAAACAACATTGAACGAAAATTGCAAATACTGGTATGTGTGAAATTTGATTCCACTTATGTGAATTTTAAAAGCACCCAAAGCAGTGTTTTCTGTGTATCTATTGCTTATGGACCCAAATATAAAAGATAAAATTCTAAAAATATGTGTGGAGATGATCTGTATCAACCTCAGGTTGGTGGTTTCCTCTGAGGAGGAAAGAAAAACTGTGGGCTTGGGGCGGGTTATCAGGGTGCCTTCAAATGTGTCTGTGAAGTTGTATTCCTTAAAAAAATAAAATTATATGAAGTCAGTTTGGCAAATCTGGGTAATGGGTCCACAGGTAGTCATTGTATTATTCTTTGCATTTCAAAATTTTTGCCATCTGGTGGGTGTGAACTGCTCTGATGGTTTTATTTTGCATTTCCCTGATGACTTGTGAATTGAGTGCTTTTCACATGTTTGTTAACAATGGAAGACTATTAACAATGGAAGGCGAAATAAGGAGTTTCCCTAGAAGATGGTGAAGTGAGTATTGCCCTGAAGAGATACCCAGGTGGAGGCACCCTTCAGGCAGGTGGTTCTGCTGGTTTGAAGCCCAGGGCAGGGGATGCGACGCTGGAGTTGGGAGACAGAGAGGAAGTGGCGTCTCAGTGAGTGGTGAGCCTGCACATGGATGCAGGAACAGGGATGCTGAGGGCGGTGGATCCGTGGCTCCACCACCTAGTGCTGAGCAGAGAGGGGGCCTGGAAGGAATGGTTCCTGGTGTGTGATGGGGGTGGCATAGGGATGGGGTATGACAAGTCAAGGGAGGGCAAGAGGTTTCTGGAGGGAAGGTGGGGCCATCAGTGCTGTGAAGGCTAAAGAGTGCCACATGGCCGTTAGGTTTGCACATGGCTGTCTTAGGTGGCCTTGGTGAGGGCAGTGTGTGGTGTGTGGTGTGTGGGGGCAGAAGCCCGACTGGAGGAGCCTGAAGGAGGAGGGACAGCAGGTGTATATGATCCTTTCAAGGAGGCTGCCCAGGAAGGGCAGGAGAGAGATGCGACTGAAGCTTGGGGAGGCAAGGCGCACAGATCCCGGGGGAGGAGCCTAGGGGGCCAAGGGCACTCAGAGCAAGTGCCATGAGTTCCTGGCGTTCCCCTTGCAGACCCACTCCCCGCTAGGGCCTCGGTCTGACAGCCTAGCTTAGCATCACCAGCAGCAGCAGCAGGAGCAGCAAGGTCAGCCATCAATTATGTTTTCTTTTTAACGTGCTAGGTACTATGCTAAGCACTTTTCATGCGTAGTCTCATTTAAACTCCCTCTTAACTTTATAACACAAATAAGTTATCATCCCCATTTCACAGCTGAGAATTGTTAGGCGTGGAGATGTCAAGTATGGTGCCCACAATCACACATGGTGGCAGGTCCAGGGGACGTCAGTGTGGGCCCCAGACGGGGGCTGTCTCCTGTGGGAGGTGAGGTTCCAGCTGGCTGAGGATGTAGAGGTGCAGGGGCCAAAATCCCTGAGGCCTGCAGAGGGTGCGAGCCATCCCTCTGGCAGAGCCATGTGGAAGTTAGTTATTGATGCAGGTTGTTTTCATGGAGGCCCCCGTCGCCTTCCTTCATGTCCCTCACGTTCTGCGCACTTCCCTGTGGCACAGAAGCAGGACTCTGGGCTTGTTTGCTCAACCTCTGTGTCCACACATCCCTCTGAGCCCTCACTCCCCTCCCCTCAAACACCGGCCCTGCTGCCAGGGATATCCGGCCCCTCTTGGACTTGACATGCAGAAGCCCTTTGGGATGTGGCCTCTCACCTCTCCTGCCTCGCCTCCCTCCTTCCACTCTGCTTTCGATGCCTCCTGGGGAGGACTCAGCAGTCTGCCTCTCGAGCACAAGTAGGACTTCCACTCCACGCTCGTCTGTCGTATGGCTGCCCTCGGATTCCAGTGGTTTGCCTGTCTCCCAGGCTCACCTGAGCTCCTGGACTGGGCCCTGGACTGGTGGTGCCCAGCACACAGCAGGGGCTCGCCAGGGAGCCCAGCTCTTGCTTCGAGCCAGGGGAGCCAGCATCAGACGTGAACCTCACCGCACAGGCAGATGCTACACACTTTGGGGAATTGTCATTGATCAGGAAAATGATTTAAAAAGGGGGTGGAGGGAGTGTTTATTGAATAGAGGATACTATTGCCCTCCTGTCTGAGGCTGCTGGGAAATGGTACCTGGTAAGCCTGTGAAACTGGGCACATTAGAGTCTTCTGGAGTTAAATTTGGAATTGGGACAAGGTAGGAAAAATCTATGCTCGTTGAATGCGAAATGCAATTGTCTGTCAGTGCAGGAACTGAAGTATCTGCAGCAAATTATATTTAAGACTCTATTGTCACAGACAGGTTAGCTAATGCTTGATTTTAAGTACAGGCTTCTAATGCTATTACTCCTGGTTAGCTCTGCCTGGCAGGTAACCTTGTGGAACAAATGACTGCATTGCTTGAATAACATATTTGATCAAACAGGACAATTCTTTCAAAAATTGAGTTCTCTGTGGCAATTTGAGACCTGTAATCAGCAAATTAGATGATTATAGCTGGGATAAAAATAGTCTTCTAACAATGTCCAAGGTATAAATGTGATTTGAATTTCAAAATGTTGAACATGCGGTAGGAAAATGCACGGTTGGGTAAATATGACTAGACATTATCAGATCTGATTTCTCATTCCTTCCCTGCGCCTGAGGTAGAGCCTAATTTTGCCCAAATAAACGCCAATCTCTTTTGTGTCTGAGTTGGAGGCCGGAAGTATATCCTCGCACTAAGCGCCAATCTGTGAGGGCCCACAGCTGTACTTACAGCCTCGGGAACTTTAGGGTGATGTGAACGTTAGCATCATTTACTCACCCGCTTAGCATGAAATGACCTCCGTAACACAGTGCGCTGTCCAAGCCCCACACCAGGATGGCCTGGAAAAACCTTCAGCACCCACCACCTGAAGGCCAGTGTTTTCTTCCTCGGGCACAGGGGACAGAGACCTGCCAGCAGCTCTGGTGAGTTCTGTGAGCCAGCGTGCAACACGAAGATGGGGTGTGCTCTGCCACGATCCAATCTGTCTTCACGGTTGGTCGATAAAATTACTGTTTCTCCAGCTCTAGCACAAGTTAGACCAAGGGCCCACACCCCTTCCCTTCTCTGGGCCCTCCCTGCTGACACATCTCTGCCTCAGAGCGTTTTGTTCACCTAGAGCTGCCATTTCCACCCCTGCTGTCTGTTTGGTCTCACCTTGCCTCCGCTGGTTTCAGCTGAACTGCAGAACAAGTGATCTGGCAGATGGGTATGGAGCCAACCAGTGAGGGGCCGAAGTTTGTACTGACGACTAGCAAGTGGAGGAAGCTCCTTTGAGAGGGGAAACTTGATTTCAGTTGCTAGTGGCTCTTCGGGGTTTTGGCAGAGCCACAGAAAATATTGATTACTGTGGATTTCACTTACCCATCTGGGACTTGTCCTTTATTAGCACAGATTATTAAGAGCTGCCTGTGGCAACACTGCCATTAAAAAAAAAAAACAACACTGATCTCCAGAAATGAGGTACAATTTACATGTACGGTACCCTCATCTCAGCACACTCAGTAACACTCTGCCAAACGATCCAAGAAGTATTTGCCTCAAACATACTTTCAAACCAGTGTTTCCTCACATTTGCCAAGCTCTCAAACTTATATAAACCTATAGGAAAATAGAAATGTTTTCAGTGCCCAATTTTTGCACAAAAAAGTGTCAAATGTAAATGAACCACTTTTAGGATTTTTCCAACAAATCACAAATGATCACCATTAAAAATTCACTACTCTAAGGCAGGAGCATCTCTGGGATGGAGAACTAATTAGCTAGGAGCATCACTTGGCTAAATACCATTACATGTAGATTTATAATGCTTTTATTAGGAAAACTGTATTAAAACTGCCAGAACATCACAATGTGAAGAAGTAGGGTCTCTCTCAAATTTCATGTTAACATGGTAGATTAAAAATGGCTGTAGTTCTTTCTACTTCAGATAGATTTTTGCAAAATAATAAAATACCAAGTTGAAAATAAATGATATTTATTTGCTCATTCACCCTCCCTTAATGAACCCATACAGACACCACAGCACTGTGAGAAAGTGAAACACAAGCCTCCACGAGGCCACCTCTTTGAGAATGTCCCACAAAATGTGATGTGAACTGTACACATTGGGGCCTTAAAGCGAAAGGCACTTGGTGAGTCCATCAACGGCCGGGGGACAGACAGTATACGAACATCATGGCCTTGAGCTACATACAATTTTACTTTGCATTTTCTTCTTCAAGGTATAGTTTGAGGCTATGATGTTGGGTTAACAAGTTCTCTGAACAAAACTCCTTTAGGTAAGATGCCTTAGGTTTGGGTGGGGACAAAAAGATTATTAAATGACACTAATTACAGACACTTCATGACCTTTGTCCTGTGCCAGGGAAGGAATCATACCCAAGAACCCTCTCGGATGCAGACGTGACTTCACAACCACTGCCAGGGCCAGCCTGCGAGCCTGACCAGAGCTCCCGCTGCACAGGGTGTCATGGGAAAATGCCAGTCGGAACCTCATCCCCAACCCAGGGGCCCTCAAGGGACCTGTAAGGCTGCGCCAGAAGCTCACGTCCGAAGTTTTCTATTAATGTATTTGCTTGAAAGGCTTGAGCTTCAAGAGCATGAAGTTAAAAAAAAGAGAACTTGATACAGCCACATTCAAAGCTGACTCCTAACTTAAATTACCAGACATAGCTCATAAAACCAGCTGTCTCAAAGACAGTGTTATCTTTATTAAAAAACGGATAGACGTAGCAGCACTTACAAAACAATAGTTCATAAAAGGCATTGTACACTGTCAACTGATAGTATGGAAAAGGGCAGGCCCCCAGCACAGCTGGTTGTGGGCTCCGCATCACAACGCTCACAACCACCTGTTCCACTTACTACAACACAACCCAGAACACCCGAGGGGAGGCCAGCAGCAACGTGGCGCTCCTCAACTTCAAGCCTTTGTTATTTGTGTGAATAGTCAATCAAGTCAAGTATCACCCTCCTTAGCAGCATCTGGAGCACTCATTGGTGTTCTGGAGGTGGCTGGTGTACTTGACCCACTTATTAAAAAAATCTAAGCATTCAATAAAACACACTTCTCCCTGTCCAATGCCATCCACAGAAACCCTCTGTTGCAGAAGTGACACACTCTTCCATTTCAATGTCTGAAAAAGCGAACGCACGCCTCTGCTGCGGGACACAGGAGAGAACTTGGAGCAGGCACTTGCGCACAGCTGTCTTTGGTGGAGGATGCTGGTGTGGTCATGCTGTTTCCTGCTCACTGCTCTGCTTCTTACTGCTCTGTGGGGGGGTGAGGACTCCAGAGGGGAGAGGAGAAATTCTATTTTCTTCAGACAATATGGCTTTCTTTGCTTGGGCTTTGTCCTGTTGGTAAGAATAAAAGCAAGAAATGTTAAAATGGAAGGAAGTATCCTTTGGGCTTTACTTTGTGCTTTTTTTTTTTTAAATGGAAGTAAGTGAAGGAAAAAAATAGCAAATAACAGTCTAAAAGTTTCTGGTCTACGTGATACTTAGACATGGGATCTGTTGACCACAATTCTTCTTTTCCAAGGAATTAAAAGAATTGGAGTCTTTTGGGGATACCTGGAGCCTGTGTGAAGGAAAGTGAAGAGGCTAGCTACTCCAGCAGGTTTAAGACTCTGTCTGGGAAGCAAGGACCAGTACTGACCAGCAAATCCAAGCTGTTTATATGGGTCTGGATGTTGTGCGCATCTTCAGCAGGAACTCCCCTGAAGTGCTTAAGTTTCGAACTTCCTGTCTCCCTTATCACCATGGCAAACGGAACCATCCACTTGACACACTTCTCTATATCACACCACTGATACCCTGCAATGAAAATATACGATAGGCTCCATCTGGTTACATCTGGGTTTGTCAGTTTAATACACCTTGTGAGTGGACCGGGAAGTCAACTTACCTGAAACCTTTTGCATCAGTTCGGATGAAGAGAAATGATACAAGGCAGAAGCAGCAAGCACACCATAGGGAAATTCTAAGCAGCCGACATCCAGGACACAGAGATCTAAAAGCTACGGAGAAGAAAAGGACACTGAAGGAGACGGCCAGCTCACATCCCTCCTGGAGTGACTCAGTCTAGCTGTGGGTGGGCAGCCCCACAGAGGGAACAGAGCCGCTCACCTCCGCGATCTGTATGAAGACTTGCTGAGGGTACTGTGGCAGGAGGACTTCATAAAAGTCATTTAGGTACGCAACCTGCATGTATACATTCAGCCAGGACACAATGGTTAGGGGACTTAAATGCCACTTAAGGGCCTGAGGGAAAACAGAGAGAAAAGAGACCAATGGTTGAAAAAAGAAAAAGACATTTCTCCTCCCCTTGGTCCTCTACAGCAGCTCAAAATGCAGCCACTTCCCATGCCACAATGTGTCCAGCCGAGAACACCCAGCCAGACGCACTCATGCTGAATGTAGAAAAGATATTATGTATGCATTCTTAAAAAAGACTGAAAAATTAACTTGTAACCTACCTTCATAATGATTAATTCCATGGTAAGAATTTCATCTCCTGAACAAGCCCCATCTGTAACATAAGCAAACTGGTGCAACTTTGGAGGATAAATTTCCTAAAAGGAAATAAAAGGAAAGTACTACTAGCAAAAAGCCAGTCTCTAATAGTTTTACCTTCCAATGCACATCCCCAGTTGTTCTTTTCAGTATGCTGACATAGAAAGAAAAAGGGGGTACGGTGATGGGATAAATCCAAGAACTACTCAGTGGTTCAAAATGCATGAACTTTGAAAGACATCGAACACTCACCCTCATCAATCAATCAATAAAATTTTACTCATTGGGAAGTTTTGAAATTTTCACCTTTTCAATACCTTTAGCAACATGTTTGAAAGTTAGGCCCATCCACCCTTCTATTCACACCAAAATTTTAATCCTCTTAGGTCAAAGCTCAATTTTGTTGATTAAAGGAATACCTAAGCATTTTATACACTCATACTTTTCTTGATTAACTTCTAGCCTTTTTCATATGTGGCTTAATTTTAGAAGGCCTCAAATTAGAAAAATTTAAACAAACAGTTGACCTCTTCCCCTAATCCCAGTGGCACTCAAGAAAAGCATGTATTACATAACAAACATTTGAAAATTGATTTACCTCAAGTTTGGCAGCAATAAATAAAGATGAAATTCCAATAAGCTGTAAGAGTGTTTTTACAACATTTTGTTGTGTTGCCATATACCGATCAAAGAAATCCTGTGCCAAGTAAAATGTCTCTCTGTGAAGTTTATAGACTTCACACACCTGAAAAAATATTTAGTGAGTTTTAGAACAGTGACTGGAAGAACAGAGACAGACAAAAAACTTGCCATGAGTTTTTGGGGAAGGATAATATAACCAAATCAAGAGAGAGAACGTGGCTTTTCTGAAGGGATGGTGACCTTGCTTGCCCCTAAGCACATACACAATAAAAAAGTGTCCCCTTTATAAGTTCCATTACGAAGTGAGAAAAGAACTACTATATTTCTTCACATTGGGCACTCTCAGTATGAAAGCCTGAAAGCTGGAACATACTACAAAATTAGGACAACACCTGATTTGCCTGCCTCACAGGACTGCTGTGAGGTGTGGCCAAGCAGTCTACATGATGGAGTTGAAAAAGACCAAGGAGATATCTGACCTCAATTCATTACCATCATCAAATGTCTGATTATGCATATAAAGCTGCTGTTCCTAACAGTACATCTCTTCTAAGTATAATTCATGGGGTTAGTAAGTAGAAAAGACACCAGAGGAAACAACAGGAATATTAGTGAAAAACTCCATCAGTCACCAAAGAGCACTTCTAAGTCCGGGTGGAGTCACATTCAGAGTCAGTTTTTATAAAACCACACAACTACAATCTGATTAGAAGCGAAACTAGAGCTTCTGTTCTCTAAGGAAACAACTTCCAGCCCTATTTCGCCCGCTCACAGTCAGGCACACAGCGCCAGCACCGCCTTTCTTGCGTAAGACTTGTTGGCTGGGCCGGAGCTGGGCAATGTAACATCGCTACAGACAACCTGTGAACTGTGGACTCCGGTTTCGTTCCACTGAAGACATAACGGTGACCACTCTTTTCTATCCTTTCAATGGTATTTCATTTTTTCATTAACTTTCATAGAAAATCATTCCTTTGAAGTATCAGTTGCATCCACTGCCATTATATAAAATAGAACCTCTCAGTCACAACATCACAGTTGAAGCCTAGGAGATTAAAGCACACTACACCTAATGCTTCAAGGAATTATAAGATGTTCTAAAGGGCCCAGAAGGGCTATGTGCCATACTGGGTCTATGGTGGACACCTGCAAGGCCTATAGTTTTAAGCAGGCCTGCCAAAGAATTTGTACATTGGTACATTTTCTATGCTGACATTTTTAGGGACGAATGAAGAAAAACAAATCAAGAATGGAAAAAAAAATGCTATCTTTCCTTGCCTACTTTGTACGCTGCACTTCATATACACAATTTCTAATCCACACAAACTCTGCAAGGAAAATACTGCTAGAAAATATTACAGATGAGAAAACCAAAACTCAAAGTTACGTGACTTGCCTGACCAGGGCACACGGTCACTAAGTGGCAGCAGGGGATTTGACTATAGGACGCGCAGGACAGGGCACACATACCCCTGGCAATACAGACTTTCTAAAGGGCACATGGCTCAGTTCACTTTTAGGGAATATTTAGACACTCAACTTGCATATGTACTTTTTCATAAAACAGATCTGCCTGAGATATCGCTCCACGTCACAGAAGAAAACCCACTTCTCACCCACCCAGGGCCTACAGAGGCATCCAGGGAGTGTCCCTTAATAGAGCCACTACTGAGTCACCCACACTTCCTCCCAGGAAGAGGGGCACTGCCTACACAGCATTACTTCTAATGTTTAACAGTTGTCTATCACAGTTTGTAACACTTGTTATTTTGATCAATTATTGTAGAGAAGTGATAGTATGATCAATAAAAGATGTGAATGATATATTTTCTGAGGATAAAATTCTGTGGGGAAAGAAATGGATCCCAAGGAATTAAAAAAAAACGACGTAAAATTTCTGACTGCTGGAGATAAGTTCATTCACCTATTTTTAAAATATACGACAGTGGCTGTCAAATAGCTATTATCCACATTCCCCTGTATACACCTAAAAGCAATTTAATTAACAAAGATCAAATACCAAACATTTATAGTTAACTGGAAAATATAACCTTTGCAACTATTTAAACTTTGAGGGAAAAAGATACCAACTTATAAATATCTAAGACTTCAAAAATTCTTTTAAGAAAGTACATAAACAAAAAAGTTAGACTACTGCAGTGTATGTGCCACGGTTCGGAGACACAGAATGTGTCAGTGGAATCGAACACGTGAAGAGCCCATAACAGACAGAAGAATCTAGAAGCAGTCAATGGTCCTAGCGACCAGGAAGGCTCCGGCTCACCTCCATCAGCCAGTCCAGGAGAATCGCTCGCATTTTAGGCTGCAGAAGAGGGTGCCGCTGCATAAAGTGCTTATCCCTCAAGTACATCTTTTCCTTATTCAACATGATTTTCCATACCTCCTCTCTATTTGCCCAGCTACAGAAAAACAAAACCAAGCCAAAAAAACAAAAGACAGGTGTCAGTATGCTTCCACCCTGAGGAGGTGGGAGTGCGTACAGGGAGTTAAGGGGTCTGGGAGGCACTCGGCCGGCGGCTCACTTCAGGATGGGCAGCGGTGAGGCTCTGGACGGTGTGCAGCTCTGAGGCTTATACACGGAATTCGGGTATACCAGTTCATCCTCTTCTTTGTCAGGTGTGGGAATCAAGGAGCAGGGGTTTTCACAGACTTTATTACTGTCCCAAGGCTATAAAAAGAAAGACACATTTTTAAATGTTTGATGTAAACCAGCTGTTTTTACATTCATTGATTTGTCAAACAGCCAGTAAAACAGAAAATGTCTTCACACTGGAGAGTAATCTCCAGGCCTAAATCAATATTCTGGCCTAAATTAAGATGGAGATAGCACGGATAAGTAAAAGACACAGTAATGACTCCAAGCTTTCATTTCATTTTTGTCATTAAGCTTAGGAGTTTGTGCAGTAAATACCTAAGAAAGCATTTTAGCAACATTTTCTCCTCCACATCACCATCCTCATATGAGGTGCTTGAGCAGCAAAATGGAAGCAGGCAGGGTTAGACAAAATACAAGCAGCTCTTATATTACTGAAGGGAAAAAAAAAAGAGAATAAAATCCATTTGCAGCTCAGTGAGAGGTATTGCAGCGTGGCTTCTAAAGTGTGTTGTGAGATTATCTGGTCACAATTCAAACATTTGTTTTTTTTAAGAAGTACAACTAACCTACTAAAATTTCTTAAGAGTGAAAGACAGAATTTCCAATAAAAGTATTTACATAAGCACTACACGTTCACAAGTACAAAAGAACAAAATGTAAATTGATTGCCATCTATATTTGAAGTCCCCCCTATTTTAAAACAAAACCCATCAAATGTGACATCTTCCTTTGGTTGCAGATCAAGCCAAATATATTACATAATGGGGACCTTTGGTTTTCCTTAATTCAAAATGAAACAAAAGGAATATCCACCTAGTTAGAATCAAATCAAGCCACAGTCACAGGATATATACTAAATGTAGATGGAGTCTTGATACTCCTGAAGACCTTTGAAACCCAAACCCTTACAGAGTGATAGCTGCTAACTGAATAAACTATCATTAAAAACCAAAACAATGCTTCTCTTTTAAAGATCCCAGATACTTAATTTTGTTCAATTTTTAGTATTTGGAAAGTAATGTCATTTTTCTATTTAAAATTTTTTTTCCTTTTAAAGGTACTATTTATCATACTACTCTAAGAGACTATGATTGATTTTTAAAATAATAAAATAATGGTTTTGTTGTAAGATGTGCCATGTTAACAACCCTGCCAGCATGGAAGCTCTTTGAAAAGTCTCAGACTCTTGGCATTTTTTTTTTTTAAGCAGAGAAATCATTACTGTTTACTAGAAAACAGACAACTGAGAAGACTGTACATGAACATGGCAACCTGGGCTCCAAGTGCTGCCTGGAAGATATGGGACGCGGTGGATGGCACAGCACACCGGCCACTTTCAGAGGAAGCCAGAGCACTTTCAGTGTACTGAGAAGAGCAAAGCTGGATAAAGCTCCTCTCCATCCAATGTGCAAAGAATTGGGCATGCAAATTAACCATGACAGCCCTTGCCAACAGCTGCTGGAGAAGGGCAGACTCCTCTTCCAGTTCTGGTATCATGTGCTGGTAGCATTTCCTTGACTCAAAAAGGGTCATATTACAACTGCTTTAAGTTGCTCTCCATTCAAGAATGAATTCTAGTTTTGAAAGCAGAAGCTGGGTGTCACCCTCTACAGCCAGATGGTTGAAATAGCTGAGCAGGCCTTTGGAGATAAAATGGTAACAGTTCCCAACCTGCAGTTCACAGACAAATCTCGTGAACCACAAGCAGACAAATGGTCCCCAAAGTTGGCCTTTTTAGGAACCAATATATGAAGCAAGATAATGAAGTCTATTAACTTAAGTGTATGCCATGTTTCAAAGAGAACAAGATCAGTCTGACTTTAGGAAGGAATGGAAATAGCAAGAGACCAATCATGATTATTCCTAGCCACCCCTGACTATTTAAGTCACTTTTAACAAAGAGTAAAACTACCTTACGCAAAATTTTATTCTGAGAAGTAACTAATAGAAAGTTAAGGATTCCATTTCACTAAAAAAGTTGTCTCTTGCAAAAAAAAATAAATAAACAACAAAATGGATATGTTAAATACTTTAGATAAAAAGTATTATTTCCATTAAGAAAAACCTAAGGTAAGAATCAAAGGTTCCACGTGGTCTTGATGAAGCAGTTACTCGGAGCTGAGCATGATGGCTACAGGTAGCTCAGGGCTATTGAACAAGGGCTGAAATATGATCACTCCAGAGAAAAAGTCTGTGTACTTAATAGGGAAAAAGGTTGTTACCCAAAATTCTAGCTTCATGCATCTACACTGAGAAATAACAAGACATTGATTGCTCCATAAATGATGGGTAATTTTCAAGCTATCCACTCTACAAAATGTGCAGAAACCTGTTGTTATTAACCTCTGAACCACCATGAAAATGCCTTCTAGTGGGAAATGATATGGCTATTCACGTATCATATCTATCAACTCTCCGCAGTCCAGGGATAGGGCCTAAGCCCTGTCTTAGGCATCTGAGGTTATCTTTGAGAACAGAAACTACTCTAAAACTCCAAAAAGTAAACAGGGGTGGCTTTGCTTCATCCTCAGTTAAAAAATGTCAACTTAAAACACAGCTGGGAAAATAAATAATCTTGAATTTCACAAAGTAGAGATCTATTTTAGTAGAGATCCTCAAAAATCAACTTGCTTGGTTTGAAGTCATTAAGGGGAGAAAAAAGAAAAAAAAAAAAAGAACTCAGAATACACTCTTACTTCCTTTCCCAAAATGAAGTATTACAAATACAGCAAGAAAACATCAACCCTTGTTCAATATTCACCAGAACCTCCCCAGAACTGCTAATTTCTAGGGTCTTATGTGCAGTGACAAGTGTTCTGCAAACAATGTGGCCCACTACTTTGAAGCCCTTTGCTCTTCCAGACTCAGCTGCTATGGCTGTTGCTCACTGCCCTACAAAGTGATGTGCTACCACTGCTAACTTAATTGGGACCACCGCCCTGGGCTCAAATACTATTTCTGCTCAGCTTTTATCATTATAGCGTCAGAAGGCCTGATCAGCTAGTTTGGAGACAGGCTGCTTCCCCTACTGGAGCCATAACTACCATCTCCAGCCATTTCTGGAGGTAAAGAGATAATACAGCTTTTTCTGCTAGGGACCTTTGATATTATAATGATACCATGGGCATGCAAGAAATATGGCAGCAAATCCATGAAGGAGGGGCAAGAGACATGGACTAGTCAATTAAAAAAACGTGTTGAGATGCACATGTCATCACACAGAATGCCCCACTAATAATCCAGTGGAGGCCAGGCGGAGCCCTAGTCAGCCGTGATCACTGTAGGTAATTGCTGGACGGGTTGGAAGAATTTTCAGAAAGGGGGAAAACGTTTGCAACATGACCAAGTCGGGGTGGGAGCAGGGAAGGGAAGTCCTTACGTACCATGATGAAAAAACACAAATGTGGATGGGGGAGAAGTTGCTTATGAGCACCCATAAACCCCCATCATCACGGTTACCCAAAGAGCTCCGTGTCAGGAGCCCTGCAGCAGTTCACCAGCCTAAAGACTAGGCTGCAGGACAGACTCCGCCCCTGGCTTGCACTGGACTTTGGGTTACTTTCTTCCTCTAACTGAGTCTCAGTTTCCTCAAGGGCAAAAGGAGAGGACTGAGTTATGTGATGTCCATTCTGGTTCTTCCAGACATCAGCACATATTTGTAATCTCAGGGATGTCAGTCACTAACACAGACGTTCCTGGAATCCTAAGGCTGGCAGAGGTCAGTGCCCACTGAAAGGCACGGTGCTTCGTCGTATGCACTGTAGCCATAGTTAGAGAAAAAGCCTTCAGCAGGAGGCGAGTATGAGGCTCAACGTGACCCAAGAAAAGGAGACTCTTCACTTAGGTCCACTCAGCAAGTGTACCTACCTGACTGCCACACTGGCTTCTCACAGTCCTGTCAATTTTGGCAATGTCTTCATCTGGATCCTGCAAAAACTAACATAAAACACCCCCCACACCGCAAGGAAACACACAAAACAGTCCAAAGACAAAAACACAGAGAGAAAAAAGAAAAAGAAAGCTGGTAAGGTTATGACCACCGTTTCTGCCAAACACACCTCCCTGATCCCCCATCAGTAACTACGTGGGCAGAACCCAGTTTGGTACCCAGGTAAGATGGGGGGGAGCCTCCCCCACCTGTCTCCTTTGTACTCACAACGGCCACATTTGCTTTCCTCTTCCTGGAGCGAACAGGGACATCGGTGCCGCTTTCTTCTTTCATAGTGCCCGGCTCCTTCGCATCCCTGCAAAGCCAGGGTAGCACAGAGGTAAGGCTGAGTTCTCCCCAAACCTCAGCCCACCCCTCCCCCACCACTGCACACCTTCCCCTTCCCCGCAGCGGCCAGGCCACTCACCTCTCCTTCTTCTCCCTCGGCATGGCGCTGGGCGCAGGATCAGACCTCAGGCCTGGGGGGGCACGAAGCGGCAGCGGAGTGAGGACGG